GGAAGTTCAGCATGACCACTATCTTCTATGTAATCTGTACAAAAATCTGTTTCATAGGTAAATTGCGAATGGTTAGTTTGTGTGATGTGGTGATTTGAACACAAGATCTGTGCTGGAATGCTAGAATTGCCTAAAGATGCCTTTAGGCAAGTTTCTTATCTTCTCTATGTCTCAATTTCCCCATGTTTAATGCAGAACCTATAATGTCTCACCCTTAGGGATTCAAAAGAACTGACAAGCACAAGTGCTGAATTTTACTGTGTACAATACAGCACCCAAATCATTGCATCAAGACTATTCCCAAACTGAATATGTTGCATACATACAAGAAAAAAAGATTGTGCTTCAAAGTCCTAACTATCTAGGCAAGAACACGATGTGACAGGTCTAGAACATACTCAGGAGGCATTTGTTTCTTCGAAATACATGAACTAGAGACATTAACAATGGCTATTATCACTGTCCAGTTCCTTTCATGGATATCACATACGTTATGATACCCAATTTCTATAAACACTAATTGCATATGTAGAAATTACATAAAGATAAATATATTTAACCTTGATCATGTCTGTGGAGGCCTGCAACATAGATTCCCTGAGCAAATATACATGCAGTGATGGGAACTTAATTTTCTGCTCTTTATGAAGTCACAAGAGTGCAAGAGGGTAAACTAATAAGCCAAGTATGGATTTGTCCAAATCAAACAATTCTAGACAACTAAATGAGCAGCTCTATATTTACATTTGCAAGCAGAGGCTTAAACTAAGGATGCAATATCTGGAGATCAGCAGGGTTCTACCCACCAAAGTACTGGAAGAACTGAAAGACAGCAAAAGATGCAGCTATGAGAAACTTTTTTTTTTTTAAATAAGAAACATTTAAGCTTGCTAATTTTTGCTGTCTCAGACAATCAAAATTCCAATTGTCTGGGACATCAAATCTAAAAAAGCATGAAATTAATCTTCAGAACTTAAAGTCTTAAAGGCATTGCATCATTATTTTTGTTGGATATATTTTTGATTATAATGCAGATGAACCCCAAATTTAATAAAACTAAAATAACATGAGTTAAGTATGAAACATAACAGGATATTGCAAAGAGATTAGGTAGTTTCCTTTAGACTACTTGCAGAGCCCAAGGAAAAACCAAACTGAGGGACACAATGACGAGAAGGCACCGCTTAATTAGAATATTTAACAGAATATGAAAACAGAATACTCATAGTACCGGTTTTGGCAATGAAACACAGCGAGCAGAATATGGACCCGAAACATCAGTAGTTCTCTACACCAGAAACTGTTTTGCCTGCTGACTGTCTGTAGTAAAGAAAGAAGCAGGCTAGCTAAATTTAAACCAGCTGTAATGATGAGTGTTACAGTTGGACTGAAGGAAGCTTACCTCATGAAAGTATTGTGGAAACTGCTGTTGGAAAGATAATAAAAGGATTAACTGCAGTTTTAGTGAACCATTTACTTTTCAATCAAAATGTCTCATGTATTTCCTGTTCTCAAGTAGCTTGAATTCCAAAATTCCTTTGTCTATTACAGTACATAGTAGCAAAGCCTGTCATAAGAAATTAATAATTTTACATGGAAAAGTACTTTTATGCATGAGGGTGGGGTGCTGCTTGCTGTTAGCTTCTCCTGAGCAGTTCAATACCTAGTCAGCCAGTAATCCTACAGAGAGGAACAAAATCAAGGGCTTAAAAAGAAAGTACAATGGGTAATTGTGAACAGTGGAAGAAAATCTCCACTACAAATACCAAGAGATGTAAAGTTACTTTAACAGGGCTACAGCAAAAACGAAACAAAAATCTCAGACCGCTACAGACGGAGTATGAATTGCCCTCTTAATTTGCAGGAATAACAGCACAATTATTACCACATCAAAAGAAAAGCCATCATTTAAAATGACATGACATCAGTGCACAATGAAACACTGCACAGCAACCCTTGTTTAAAGTGGAATGGAATTCGCTGGGCAAATAATCCCCACTTGATATTAATAAATTTAAGGAGCCGTGTTGCAGCTTTGGATCTTGTCCCTGATAGATCAAGGTCTTTCCAGGGTAGAAAACTGAATTTGCAAAGACGACATGTTTTTCATGAGCTCACTTGGATCCAGCTTTACTCCACAGGGGATTCCAGGTTGCAACATTTAATACATGGATACCTCTGCTGACAGTGGAAGGGTCTTATTCTGGGAACTGAAGAGTTAAGTGCAAGTTGTGCAATGTAAAGCTCCTAATTCTGATTGGGCCATTCCATGTATGGGAACAACTACAATACCTGCTCAAATAAAACAGATCTTTACGTACTTACATGCCAAGGCTATATACATGTGCCATGAAGGCTGTCTGCAACATCAGATGCAAAGGTTTTTCCAACCTATTCACAATGTTAAACCTGGAGATGTTATCAAAAGCTGGTTCTTTAATGCAGAGGAACATAATTGAAAGGAGGAAATTTTTAGCATTTGCTAAGATATTACATGATTTAACATCTCTGGTTTATCCAGTTTCCTGTAGGAATGGGAATGTAACATTAGAAATCTGCTATACAATACCTGTCAAATATACATTTTGCAGAAAAAGACAAAAGTTCCCTCACCCATGGAGTCTACTGAACCTTTCAGCATCATAGTAAAGCTAATCAGGGTTTCACGTTTTAAGTATTTCTTTTAAAAAGTGTGAGATAAAAGTCAAGAGAAGACTGATCTCATTCCAGATGATAAAAACACTAAAAACAAAAAGTAGGCTAAAATAAAATCTGTAAGTATGCTTTCAAAGCTTGCTTACACTTTCGTTTGGAAAGAGGCAACTAACTTGCAGTATCCTTTGATGATTCATGACAAAAAAAAAGATATTCATAGGAAGTTAAAATCCTTTGTACTTTTACAAATTGTGATCGAGCTACTTCGGGAAACGAGCAAGTCGGTTCTTTCTCTCAAAGGAAAAAAACAGGTAAGTCTTAGAGCGTTTCCATTTTATCTTGGACAACTTGATTGCGTTCGCTAAATATCTGCATTGTTTCCAGTATTATTTTAGGGAATACCCACTGAACAGTGCAGACATTAAGATAATGTTTTTCATTTATCCAATGGAAGTAAAAGGATAATCAGGATGACCACTTACACAGAAAATTTTTCTCTGTAAAACATTTTGAATACTGTTGTTTTCTTCCTTCTCCCTTCCATAACCATTGCAGGCCGGCAAGTTTTTTCTTGAACAAATGAAAAAAAGTAAGCTTTTTATATAAACATTCTTTCCTATTCCTCCATAGAAAGCTACAGCTTGCCATGGAAAAGTTTGTCTTGATCTAGCTTCCTTACAAGCATTTTCCATTATATCATTCTCTGATCAAAACAATAAAATAGACATACAGTCAAAAATTCTGCCTATCAAGAACCACAACCTGCTGCCATAACCATTCCTTTTGTTTGTACTTATTTGTGTGTGTGCCTGTGTGTATGTGCATACATGCACACGCGTGCGCATGTGGGTGTTACAAATAAGACTTTCCAAAATTCATGGCCCAATTTGGAAGCTCAAGTCAAACTTGTTTTGCTTCATCTGTTTCAGTCAGGGTCTTGTATCATTGTTGTTTCAAACATGTGGAAAGCTTAATGGAAGTCATTAACTTTTATTTTAGTTTGGCCATATTGTCATCATGGTGGGCAGATGCAGAGATGGTGTTATTCCCAAGATCGTCTTTTTGGAACACTGATGTTGTTTACATCTTCTTGATCAGAAGAGAACAATGGTTTTTACTTATTTTTAAAGCTCTGTTTTGCAAATCAAAAAAGCCCCTAACAACCTTTGAAAATGCAATGAAAGATATTCCTTTTATTCTTTTAACTGTTTAGAATCATTAACAAGATTTTTTTCTTTTCTAAACTACCATTTGAAACTTTTGTACTCACAACTCTATGGGTTATTGTTCAGCTGAAGGAATGAAAAGAATTTCATTAGATGTGTTTTATGTTTCTTGATTAAAAATGTCACCCGAGGCTCAGTGACTTGTTTTACGTTAAATGACTGCTGTGTGCTTTGATCATCACTTTATTAATGCTTTAATGAATATTAAAAAAAAAATAAAGTACTGTATTAAAAGTTAAGCTCTCATATAAGGAAACTGAATCCCTTTTCCAAGAACTACAGTATTTCTTACTCAAACATTTCCTTCTAGATTAAGGTTTTCTCCAATTCCCCTTTAGCCTGCTGCAGACTAAGTTACAGGAAAGCACAATTATATTGGAATAAGATTGAAGAGAGAGCAAGAAAGAGAGCAGAGTACTATGTTTCTATTCAAACAAATATATTCCAGACTTACCATGCACTTGTTTGGTTTTTCTCCAGAATGAACCCTCATATGAATCAGCAGTTTGTAACGAGCATTGAAGGGTTTATATCGGCGGACACAGCCTGCCCAAAAGCAAGTGAAGTCCTCTCCTTTCCGCTGGTCAATGTGAGTCTTTTCGATGTGTCTGACCAGTTCGTCTTGTTGGTCGTAAGTGGCACTGCAGTCAATCCACCGACAGACCTGTTTGCCATTGCTGAGGTCCTGTTCATCCCCGTCGCTGGGCTGAAGGGACTTTGGAGACATAGAGGCATGTAAGTGAGGCAGTGTCCCTTGAGTTTGGCTTGGTTGCTGGTGTAGATGGTAAGGGGGAGGCAGCCCCTGATGATGTCGAAAAAGATCAGCAGTGGAGGAATAATCGTCAGCTGGTTCTTGTTTTAAGAAACTCACCTTCTGGGTGCTGTGTGAGGTGTTTTGATGAGGAATGCTAGTACCATTCATCATAAGGCTGAGGCTTCCATTCTCCTCAACTTGCTGCATTTGTATCTGCTCACAGTCACCTCTGTCACATTCAGTGGAAATAGGTACAAGACATGCTGGAGGGGAGGGAATACTGCAAGGGTTTCCAGGCTGAGAGCAAGACTGGGGCCGAGAGCATTTTTGAGCACTGTGATGACTGATCTCCACAGGATGAGAGGAAATGCCAGCTGAATTAGTTCGCAGTCCATTCACACAGGTGACCAGTGACGTCTGTGATGTGCGTATGATAGCTGTAATATCAATTCCTTCAGCTGAAGACGGCACAACAGAGATGCATCTCTTCTTCAGGTTGCTTGTTTGTAGCCTAGCCGAGTGCTGAGGGGTGCCAAGTGACAAAGGACCCAGGGAGGAGCTATGCTCATTATTAAACAAGTAGGATGAGAGTGAATTTGTAAAGCTATTATTCATTACATCTATTTCAGGATGCAGACTACCGGAGGCTCTCAGCTCCATCCCCTCCGTAATCCTCCTATGTGTGGAAGCCTCAGACACCCGGGCATTATAATCACTTGGGCATTCTTGTTTAATGTGCTGAGCCGGGTTACTTCCATTCAGGCATGGAGCAGCAGAATCTACCGAGTCTTGAAACCTGGGTGACCTGTAATACAGTTTTCATTAAGCATCACTAACTACCACAGGATTTATGATTTTTGTACAAGACAACACTTGTTAAGCCCTGGAGAATGGAAGCACTTGCTCTCTGCTGAATGTTGCCTGTCTAATGCAGCAATTACACCAAAAAAATCTGCAATGCTTCCTCTACAACCCTTGTAAAGGCAGCATCGTTTTACACAGGATTAATTTTACACACTGGGTTACACACGGAACAGACAATCTCCCCTCCACTGCTATGGCCAGTTCATCAATCACAATCTAGGTTTTCAATGCATAATAGATTGGGCAAAACAATAGCTGAGAATGAAGTTTCAGAGCTTTGGGCATTTTTGAATTATTCAAATATCAGCATTTTCCTCAGAGCACACTGGGAAAATGCCTTGGCATTCTTGTTCACACAAATCAAAAAAGGCTAGCTGAGCTTTGCTTACATGTCAGAGAGATGCTTTCGTTCACTAAATTAAAAAAGGAGCAAGATCAGTGGGGAAAAAAGGAATACAAAGAAAGAATGGCTTGCTCAGTGGTCCAGAGTCAATGAGAGATCAAGCTGAGTATTTACTTCTAAGAGGTCCACAAAAGATAACTAAGAAAAGTTCACAACCGGTAGATTTAAACTGGCAGTCTATGCATTCCCATTTCCATTTTTTCCTATTAAAGTCTACATGGGTGTGCAAATCAAAAGAAGATTGTTCTGCAGAAATGATTTTTAATCTTTTTTGATGTGTGCTGAATCCAACCACTCGGGAAGTAGAACCTTGAGGAACCCCACACAGACATTTCAGAAAAACACTGCATTTAGGAAACATTTCCTGCTAACATTTTCTTCCAAGCGGTTAGCAATTGGTTTATGCCTTAAAATAAGACATTTTATCTCAGCTATAAGCATTTACTGTGGATGACCCAACTGCGTCTTTTCTTAGGACCAGTGGGTGTTCCTTACATAACCCTAAAGCATGGTAGGGTTTAACCTATGGCTTCATCATGCAGTGATGTGCCAGACTGAGAAGAGGAAACAGTACATCTGTGTGCAGAAAAGCTGTACCTGAACTAATAAACCTCCAGAGACGTGCTCCATGGCTCTTACGCTGACACGTTCCACTTAAATGAATTTTACGCTTTTTTGATGCTAGCACCACAAAAGCTGAAGAAAACCTGGCCATTTGGCAACTTGTGTGTGACACTGCAGCTAAGATAAATCTGACACATTTTAAAGCATGAAACACACATGCATAAGGTATTTTGGACATATACATACATTAAACTGCGAAGCTGCTGAATAAACTGCATTTATTTTATGACAGATGATTTTATCGCTATTATTTCCATTAATCCACCACTAACATTAAGACAGGAAGCTGGGACGACTTCTAACACTTCCTTGATAACAGCTCTCAAAGAACTACCAATTAGAAAAAACAAAACAACAAAAAGCTTCAAAAATATTTCCTTCCCATGAAATTAAGGTTGTCAAAAAATGACACCTGTCTAAGACACACAACTGTCAACAACTGCATTCACTAGTGACAGGTTTCTAAGCTCCAACAGTTTGCAGCCAGTAGGACTTGATATAAAAAAACGTTTAAGGTCATGAGAGAAGTGAAATTCCCCACCATTCATTGCTACAGAACAATCAGATCTTGCATTTGCCACCAGAAGTTTGAAAAGACTACATTTAAAAATTTTAGAGGTTTCCATAATCCATTACTTATAATTTCTCCCTTTAGGTTTCCACAGTTGGTCTCAGAGTAAACTTAAAGCACCTGGTTTTGCAGATGGTAAATGTAAAAAACAAACAAACAACAACAACAACAACAAAAATCCCCCAAATCCCCCCAAACCCCCAAGAGTATTCATACCTTATTTTTTAACATTTACAGAACCATATGTCTGTAAAATATATGGCATAAGCATATGTAAAAACCTTTTATTGCACGTATTTGGGAAACCCTGCCCTGCTTGCTTGTAGCTTCATTGCTCAGTAGAAAGTGTGCTGGTTTACACTTATTCTGAGAAAGGTTTTACAGCATGCCATGCCAGGCACAATATTTCCTATTATTTAGCTTCTTCTGTACAAGCACTCTTCTAAATAATTCCGTTTGTATCATAGTTCAGTGGTCCCAAAGCCTCAGGCTAAAGTAATCACAACACATTTCTTACATCATATAAAGCTAACCCAAGCCTTACGTTCAGCCTGTGATAATTGGTGTCATATTATTAAGCTTTATGTAAAGCTCCCATCTTGCCAGAAATCCATGTGAGGAGTTCAAGCTGGAGTCAGTACAGAGTACCTGCAGGATGGATACAAACATCGCTGTCCTGAGAAACATTAGGTTCCCCAAACTCCCAGCAACATCGATCTGCATTTCCAGCACAAGATCATACTCAGAGTCAGGACTGTATTGCTGTGATGCTGCAATGCAGAATATGAGACACATAAAGGAAAGGAGTTTTGAACCAAAAGGTAAGCTGGAATACCTTATTTCAAAAGCAAATGAGGTGAAGGCACTGAATTCATGCTTCCCATTGCCACAGCCGTGTCTTATCCACGCTCTGCCTACATAATGATAAGCACAGGCTGCTTGTGCACATCAGAAGCAAGTCTTTTCTGGAGCTACAGTTTCCTCTGTAGCACTGTATATTTAAATACATTATATACCCTGTGTTAGTTAACTCTGCTGGGAGAATCTGGCATTCTTTCAATTTCCCAATGTTTGAGTGTTGGGGTACTTAATGTCAAGGTTGCATTAATGCAAACTTTCTGTATTCCTGGTAGAATTTTGCCATCGCTGTTCTAGGGAAAGCCGTGCTTTCCCCAGTCCTGGGGGCACAGAAACAAAAGTGATATGAGAGAGAGACAAAGCGTGTGGCATCCAACTCGCTGGGTGGCTCCTCTTATACCCATTGACTATTTGCTCCTGTAATGGCATCTTGCTGTTACAGCCAGGGATCAGATTCCAGGCCTGGTACACACAGGCAGCGCTGTCTGTAAAGATTTCATAAGCTCTGGACAGTAGCAAAATATAAATGCATATGAAACAAACAGCCAAGAGGAGAGCAAGAGGGACAAAGGATAGCAAGACAGTGTAAAGAGCACTGTGTGGACATGCGGATCAGCATGAGCAGCTCTGGGGGGCTTCCAGATGAGCAACCCTGGAAGGGAGTGGGGTCAGCAGGAGAATACACCCCACAAACCTCTCTTCACAGGGATGGACAGTCTGAGGCAACAGAATTGCTGCTTAAGCACATGAAAGCTGAGTGTAAAGCCTTCGAAGAGTAACAGCAGCCTCTCAGAGGATACTAAGGCAGTGTTTCCAAAAAGACTCCCTTACGTGGTAATTGGAGCCAGAGCATGAGGCCAGTAGCACCATGCCAGAAGTACTGCAGCTCCCAACCGTGCTCAAAGGACGAGACAACTGTATCTGAAATCTCCCAATTATTTACAAAACATACACGCCTTCAATTGCCACTGTAAACGTGCAATCAGTGATAACTGACGGTTTTAAGAAGCTGGAGGGGATTGTTCTGCTGCACATCTAGGGACCCTTTGCAACACTATCTGACTGCTCTGATGTCTTCCCCGGGTTTTATATGCCAAGCACTGAGCACAGCGTGGGCGGGTTTGCTGTGTCTGATAATGGATTATTTGACAAAAGGCCAACATTAGCTGTGTGCTGACTCCAATTGTGGTAAAGAAGGTATTAGGACTTTTCCAGTCCCCCACACATTGCATTCACAGATAGCATGTAGCAGCAATTACATTGCACAACTTAAAAGCTATTAACTGAGTGGGGAAAAGGGGCCAGGAAGAAGAGGGATTGTGATTGTTGGATTAAGGCAGTCATCCCTAGAATAGTTTCCGAGGGAAAGTGATTCAGGGAGAAGCTGAAGGGGATAACAAGTTTCAGTGCATTGAGGGAAAAAAGGACAAAGCCAATCATAACCCCAAATCCTGAGGGAGATTTTGGATTGCTAGGGGAGGTGCTCTCTGGTTTGTTTGGGTTTTCCTTGGACATTGCATATCCTAGAAATGCAGAATCGTTCAAAGCTCAATCCAGAGAGGTTGTTTGAATTTGTATCTCCCTTTATTTCTGTGCTGGTCACTAGAGCTGGACAGAACAACCAAATAAGAGTTTGCCCTGACTTCTGTGTGCTCAGATATCTGTCCATTCCAGCCCTGTTTCTCTCATCTATTTTGATTCTTCTCATGTCATGAAGGCTGAAATCTGGAGAGGCACAGAGCAGCCTTGGCTCCCATTGTCTTCACCGAAACCTGATGGACATTCACCCCCACGTCAGTTATGTTCTCCTGTTTTCAGATCTTCAGGGAAAGACCATGTTTTCTGTTACTTGCTTGTCTAGAGCCTTTAGTATCACAAACACCATGAACAGAAATTGTCCCAACTGCTGTCCACCTTCTCTCACATGCCAAGGTTTTGGCTCTGTACCATGTGTCTCATGTGTAGCATGGTGATAAAATGAGACACTGTGTCTCTGAGGTGCATAGAGCAGAGCTGGGCATTGGCTTTACCTTACAAATCCCATGCAGACAAAAGTAGTATTAGCCAGGTGAACATACAAGCAGAGCATGACCAGTGGGACACACAAAAAACCCGTAAAGCAATGGAAGGGTCCTTCAAGATATTCTCCAAGCATTTCCAAACCGTTGCTTAGAAGCAGCAGAGCCTCAAGGCTTTAGACCATGCTACAAAGCAAAGGGGAGAGAATCAGGCCTATCACCTGCTACTTTCTCATGTTATGCAGCAGACAATCCTTTATGTTGTTCTGGGAATCCTCTTCCAAATGGGGGCTGGAAGGGGTTCATATTTCTGAAGATGGGTACTGTGATCCCCGGTATGCAGGTATCTGTCATTTCCTCATAGATTTTACAAAAAGGTTCAAAAAGATCTAAGCAGAGTACTCTCTTCCTCCTTTTGTTTGCTCCTGCCCTAATTATCTTTGTTTCATAATTGTCCTCACTGACAGAATAAAAAAAGGTTGATAACTGCCAGTCCCACAGTGAGCCATAAAGAAGCTAGGAGGGAGCAGACTTACACCCAGCTGCAACAGCATCCACAAATCTTTGTAGCGATAGCAGAATATTTTGTTATGTGGCATGGATATTATTTGTCCTTTTCAAACAAACAAACAAACAAACAAAAAGCTCTTTCCACTAGCTTGCCGTATTGCTGTGCCTCCTCCTCCTGGAAACACAGATGTTCTTACCCTACCAGTAAATGGAAAAGGGGAAACAAGACATAAATATGTACAATAAAATCAGAAACAGTCAGAATTCCAAGACCAAACTATAGGCCATTATTTCCTCTTGCTGTGACTATGGAAATTTGGGCTTGATAGTTCCATGCACAGAGTGCCAATTATTCCAAGTATCTAAGATAAAGGCTGCAACTTTATTGAGGTTTTTCTTTTCTACAGCTCTTCAAAAAGGTCAAGATTATTCCGTATTATATCCCCTGCCAAAAAGCAGTGTAATTAAAATAGATGGACAGATTTTAATTTGTAGCAGGCTTCTATTCACAATGGATGTCTGTTTAGGGTACTTGTTTAAAATCTGGTAATGTTAAATTTGTAACAACAACAAAAAAATAATGGAGTTCTGTGTTTTCATATAATTAATTTATAGCAAATGTTTAAATAGAGATTCTGTTCATAGCATATCCAACTACAGTGTATATATCAAAACCAGAGACCAAATTTTCACATTACGGCCTTAAAAGCAAATACCAAGGATGTGGCTGTATGGGAACATTGAAAATACTTCATTAAAGGAAATGCTGTAGAAATAAAAGTGGCATTGGCTTCCTGTAGGTTTGATGGTGGCATGCCAAATTGCCATATGGGAGACATTGGTTTGGGAGTAAGTATCATCCCTGCCTTCCAGGCTGCAATTTGGAAACAACATGGCATTGGGGTGGAGAGTGGAGGTACAGAGGAGGCAAATCTGACCCTACTTAAGCCCCTGGCAAAACTCTCGTTGACTTTTGAGCATGCTGGAAGAGTCGTCCCCCCCCGAGAAGCTGTATTTAAACTTCAAAGCAGGGGGCTGCGGCTGCATTTACAGTGACTCCTCCTGGCACTGCCTTGGACAGTTGTCTGTGCACGTGTGCATGTCCCCGCAGTGCAAACCTGTAAATGAGCAGTGTGGTTAAATGAGCATCCAAAGGACTTCCCAAATGAAGTAAAAGCCAAAAATACTTTTCCAAATGTAGCACCCACGGGTGCTATTGGGAAATAGTTCCAACAATGAAGCACTCCAGAAGAGCAAAGTACCTCAACCAATAAAACTTCCAGTGATACCTTATATCCGAATGTGTCAAGTTCAGCTGACCAACATGAAGCAGTCTTTCACAGGACAGTGGGTGGTCTCGCATAAGTGGGTTTCCTGTGTGGATGAATAGACCTTGTCGGCAGACAGGTACTGAGCTACTTGTCATCTCCATGTCCATCATGTTCTTCTTCTCAGAGATCAAATTACAATGATTGTAGCCACCGTTCACTGTCAAAAAAAGAAAAAAAATCATGTCTTTGACTAAGAACCCTCTATGCTCATTACTTTGTATGCTCATTTACATATTTTGTATGCTTATTTTGGATCTCCTTGTAAAATTCTTGTAAATGACATAGCAGTGGAAATGAAAGGTTTCACAAGGAAGCAAAAATTTATTCCAAAGTAATTTGGATCTGTGAATTACGGTTATTTCTCTTTTTAAGTTTTGTGGCTATTTTACACTTCATAATCTAACTCAAAAAAACAGTCTGATAGCTTGCCTTCCTTCTGTGTATTTTTATGGTAGAGTCTTGCCTGTGTTAGATCTTGGAGAGGGATGTTTCAGAGTCCCTTTCTTTTCAGGGAGAGGAGCTCTCTGAAAACAGTGACGTAAGTCAAGTTTTTCTTTGCAGACAATTATCTCCGTGATTATGACTTTAGATGGGCATGTTTCTACTTTACTGTCAGGTCAACAGTGTGAAAAAATGAAACTAATTTTGTTTCAGTGTATACATTTAACTGTATTTTCCAAGTAAGCTATTATTATAAATGCTAATGCTAATAATAATATATTCTGCTCTGGTGAATATTACATTTTACCAGACTTGAAAAAAACAGACCAGAGCTATAGCAATATTCTTCAGAAACATATCTATAACCACAAATGATAATCTAGCTAAAAAGAGAGGACAAAGGAGGAATTGAGAATTTAGATTGCATTGATCAAATGCTAGCAATTACATTTACTTTAAAGCATATTAGCTGGGCTTTTTACCTCTAGTGAGCTAATCAAATACTCACAGATAAGCATGTATAAAAGCATTTGTAAGAAATATAGCCTTCAGAGACTAGCTAAAGAAGTCACAATAGCCATTTACCATCATTTTCACTACTGTATATGAATCATGCTTTTAAAATACCAGATCTCCCTCTAATCTGTTTTTTTCATGGAGACAAAATGTAATGGTGTCAGATACTAATGCCAAGCATATTTCTGTAGATTTCATACGGAGTCCAGAAAGTTACTCCTTCACCTTTGTACCCAATGCTCGTGGTGATAGGTACTACAGAGCTGGACTCCACTGTAGTTAGTCCATTCTCTACGGAGGCACTGTGTGTTGCGCACTGAGGAAGAAAAGGAATTCTGCAGTCAAAGTGACAGAAAAGATAAAGCCTGTGCTCAGTTTCATGCAAATCACTGATTCTCACAAACATCAAGGTTTGTCCTTTACTAAGGTGTTACAAGGCATGATTCATCTCACCATAGTTTTGTTGTCTATGAGTTTTACCCAGACAATGTCTATGTCATTCAGCCATCTCAAAATGGGTGTCTAAGATGAGCTCATGCAACTTCAGGACATGTTTTCCTCTCCACCTTAACTATAGAAGGCTCTTAAACAAGCAACTTGAGTACCTGACTTTTAGACAGCTGCAGTTGAGCAAAATGAATCCCTCTGAGTAGCCATAGGACTTACAAACATCCTCATCACAAATAACCTACTTTACGCTGTTCTCAGGTCTGGTCTTTCTTCTACTGAAACCCACATTGGGCCTACCATTGACAGCACAACTTCTACCGTTTCAACACTATAATTTGTGGTATTATCCAGAGCAGGTATATATTGATACAGAATCATAGAATGGTTTGGAACTGGTCTTTTTCCATCTTTCTTATAAGCCCCCTTTACATACTGAAAGCCGGCAATAAGGTCTCCCTGGAGCCTTCTCTTCTCCAGGCTGAAAAACCCCAACACTCTCAGCCTTTCTTCACAGGAGAGGTGTTCCAGTCCTCTGACTATTTTCGTGGCCCTCCTCTGGACGCGCTCTAACAGGTCCAAGTCCTTCTTGTACTGGGGGCCCCAGAGCTGGACGCAGTACTCCAGGTGGGGTCTCACGAGTGTGGAGTAGACGGGGAGAATCACCTCCCTCGACCTGCTGGCCACGCTGCTTTTTATGCAGCCCAGAATACTATTGGCTTTCTGGGCTGCAAGCACACATTGCCAGCCTATATCCAATTTTTCATCCACCAGTATCCCCAAGTCATTCTCTGCAGGGCTGCTCTCAATCAATTCATCACTCCGCCTGCACTGAGTTTCACACCTATATTATATAGGTTTTACACCTATATTAAATAGGTATAATATTACATAATTAAGCAGATATCACAGTATCTAGTGAATGATGTTTTCATGATATAAGGGTAAGTAAAATTGTACTCATGAAGTTTTGCAATCACTGCAGTTTTGTTACATCATTTATGAAGTTCCAATCAAAGATTGTGCTCATTTTAGTCAGTTACTGCTTCACCACAGCTCCTCAGAGCAAAGGTACCCTTAACATACATGAACCCCCATTTCCTCTTATGGACAGCTGCTATCCCTGTAGCTAAACAAAGGCAAGTGGGAGAGCCTGAGCTGCTGTGGTCCTCTACAATTACAGTCAATGAATGCTTTGAAAGTGATGAGAATCACATTCAGGTTTTTGGTGAGTATAAATGAGAAGAAACAGGTGACTGGGGAAGGCAGAAAAAGTCTCTGGTAACTGGAGAAATTGTAAAAAGGATCACAGCACAAAAGTCCATTCTCCTCCACTGGCTGGGCTCCACAGCCTCCCCATCATGCTCCACGGCACCACTGTAATAGGGAAGACCATGGCAGATGAAGACGTAGTCCAGACAAGCATCCAGACCATAGAAAAGAGTGGGTACATGTGACACCCAAATTACAAGTCTCATGAGGCATTATTGTGACATTTCCAGAATAGAATTCCCTGTTTCCAGTGAAAAGTTTTCAGTGTTTGGCTGATACATTACATTTCTTGACCATTTATTTATTTGATTTTTAGTTTTTTAAGAAGTCAGAATCTCTAAAATTGGAAAAACAATACAGGGTTTTTCCTACCCGGCTCCATCACAATACCAGGGCATGTGATAAGTCTTAGGAAGTGTAGGCCAGCATTATTTTATATAAACAAAAAGCCCACATAAGATTTTTAGGAATGATACATGAGATTTTAAAGAGAAACCAGTTTGTATTTAAACTATACAAAATGGACCATTAGCCTTCTTCATGGTAATTAATATACATGTTCCAGTTATTTCAGATTTATATTCAGAGACCTGAATTCACTGATACTCTGTGATTGTTCTGAATCTGAAGAGACTAAGAAGCTGTACAGAAATGTAGCACCTTCTGGCCTGCACAGGGCAGTCAGTTGTATTCCATGGTTTTGGACTGAGGCATTTAAGAAGATCACTTTGGATGCCTTTCAGCTTATAGTGGGTGTTTGTGACATTAGCTCTGCTCTGCTTGTAATCATGACATAAATTATCATTATATCCTCTGGAGTCCACAGCTCCATCGGGCTTTATTCCATTCCTCTTCTGGCTTCATCTCATCATAATTTAACTCACTTCAGGGGTAATATCTACCTTAGCAAGACTATATAATCAGACTTGTGGTTGTTAATTTGGGTACACAAATCACATTTAAAGGGTATCTAAATACACTGTTGAACACTGGTGAAATAAGTTCTACACACATTTAAAGGCCACACCACCGACAGAATTTGGTAAATCAGTCATACTTACAATACCCAATTCACAGTTCCTCACTTCTTCCATCAGCAACATTACCTGGAATATATTCCAAAATACTGTGGATTCTTTTAAAATGTTTAAGATTTATATTGGACTTGTAATAAAAACACTTTCTTTCTTTCATTCCCCAAATGATACAAGTCTGAAATTCATTAGGGCTTTCTAAATATGCATTTTATCAATTTTATCATGTTATCAAAACACAGAAACTTGAAGCTTCCACCAAAGCTCAGCAATACCAACTGTAGCATACACTGATACCTATTTGTGTGAAGATGGAGATTTCCTAGAATAACATGAACATTATCCCTGTGCTGTCAAGAATTATTATCTTCTTTTATAGCTGTCAAATCAGAAAATAAATTTTCTCCCTGCAAAGGAACAGAACACTTATGCTAAATATGTGAAATTATGTGTTTCAGCCAATCCACTGTACATTTGCCTTCACAAAGTACCTTACAGATTTATTAACAAGAGCTAAAAATTTCTTGCACAACAGTGCCTTGACTGAAGTCGCACTTGGATCAAAGCCCTCTGAAATGTGCCCACCACATGGGAGTTGGAACGATGACGGACAAGGAACAACACCAGCGGCTCACTTCTTTTTTCTGTTGCAGCAGCTAAAACAAGAACCGAGAGATTGTCTCTGAACACAGACAACCAGAGTCTACATTCAACTGTTCAAGCACACGTGAAAGCAAATTCATTGCCTCTGAAAAAAAGGAAGGAAAGTCTGGTTTACACCAGTGTAACTGAGAACAGAATCTGGCCCTTTGACAACTGGCTGTTTTATACAATATTAATATCACTGGCTGGCATACAAAAGATTTAAGCATTTTCCATGTCTGGAACTAGATCTCTTCTTTCACTGGTATCAAGGGGCCTTTAACCTACATACTGTAACTTACCAATAACAGATGAAAAGAGCACATACTCCCTGCCTTATACCAGAGGGTTCACCCTGCTTTCAGTAGAACTATAGCTATTTCATAAATCCATATAAAAAACTAATCCTAATTTACAGAGAGTAAATCTAATAAAAGCAGAATGGTTTTCAGAAGGATCTCATGGAAGTGGAATCCATCAAGGTAACTTTTGTCTTTCTCTTTTTCTGTCCTGCAGTTTTGATTTATATCTTTACATTTAAATGCTTATGAAGGGAACGGAAGAGGTTGATACAGTAGTGTGCAAAGGCTGCAATCGGGCAATTCCTTCCATATGAGTAATCAAGCTAGTTCAATTTTGGATATCTTGCTTCTTTCATTCTGGGGTAACTGACTTTGGGGGAGTTTTTTCTTGATTTATACCAGATTAAGTCATGTGAGAATTGGTCCCATTGATTGTGATGAGGCTACACACCTCAG